CAAATAATGTGATGGCAGAAAATAACCAATATATTTAAAAAACAATTTCCATTCATTCTTTACAGTGTACACAACTGCAACTAAGTTAAAACAGAAGCCTTGAAAATACTGAAAGTATGTCATAACAGAAGCCCTCACCACAACAAAGACTCCTGTTCAGCAGGTTTCAGTTCACTACATATTTGTTAGTGGGAGTCCAGTAAACTTTGGTTGCACATGGCAGCTAATTTAGTGCATCTGCACTGACAACAGTCTCAAGAGAGTTATTGTAAACAAATTTGAATCCAGTGATACATGTTTTTCCAGTTTTTAAAAGAGAAAAACTCCATAGGTTGGAGGGCTGGTAGAGATGTAATTCATTCAGAAACAGCAGTTAAACTTAACTATGGAGACACCATGCAATGCCTTTTTATACTACTTTTATACTTATTTTTTTCGTGAGTGTTTGGGTGGGTTTATGCAAGAATAACCTAACCCTATAACTTGCTAGTGTTATAGAAAGATCATAACTTGTGATAAATGAGAAGTCATGTCTGTTCTTGAGACTTAAGCTAAGTAAAAGTCATTCTATGTCCATGTAAATATACAGATAAATTACTATTTCATGGTTTGCCAATAGACTAAGGCAGCATGGAGGGAAATAAAATCTGGGTTTGCTAGAACATTCCTGTCCAGTTGATAGAAAGATTAATAATTCACACATATAGGGGACACACTAAACTAGGCTGGACCATGTGAATGAGACACATAGTTGCAGGAAGCATCCAGTAGATCTACAGAGATAAGTTGAGAAAGTGCTTACATACATTTTTGATCCCAAAAGAAACAAAAGTAACCATTAAAAAGCCCTCTTATTGCATTATTGTATAAAATGAGTACTGATGTCCTTCTGTTTCAGCTCATGTTTGGCTGTTTCAAGTATGCATGTAAAAAAAATTCAATAAAAAAAAGACTAAAACCAAATTTATTCTTCAGTGGGGGAAGAAACTGCCTAATAAAGAGCTACTTTAATGTTTTGTTCAACTATGTGCAGTATTTTGGATGCCTCAGAAAGCAGCTATCCAGATGAGTGGACAGCTGCTTGTATAGTGAATTCAAAGAACCACAGATTTACAGGTTACAGAGGGTTTGTTAGTTTGCAGACAGAAAAAGAAGACTCTGCTTTTTTCTGCTTTTTTGGGCAATGACCAATAAACATATTATTATTAACTTTGTTTGAATATACTTTTACTTATTATCTATTTGTTTTCTGTAACTTTCATCAGATTATCATTTTAAAGTCACAACACCAAATTTTAAGTACATACATTGTAGCTGTGTGAAATGGGGATTGCTTTGCTTGTATTATGGAAAATATGAGTTGCATCATGCACTTGCTGCAGTCGAGTACTTGTGTGGTGGCCTCTTTTAAACTCCCCCCCCACAATCATTTCTCACCTCTCAGAGAATTGCTCAATGTGCTGTGGCTTCTTCAACTGTAAGTAGTTTCTTATTATATCATGTCAGATTAACAAAAAACATTTTTGGTCACTGACGTTTAAGGGTATCAGCCTCTGAAATAACTGTTCACAGTACTGATATAATCTGCTGTATAGTTTTTCTTTCACACTTTCACTTTGACCAGAAATAGAATCAGAATAAAGGTTTTTGTTGTTGCTGCTGTTTTGTTTTTAGAATCAAGACTTTTAACAGTGATCAGAAAACTTTCATGCTTTTAGCAACGCTGAAAGTTTTCTGATCCCATTTGAAATTTTACCAAACTATAAAAGTACGATTGTTTTTTTAAACTCACACATTCTTTAATAACTGAAGATAACCAGAAAAACCCAACAGATTAAACATGCATTGATCTGTGCTTTGCATTTAAAATAATTATTTGAAACCTTTTACCAAAATGTTGGGATGTAGATGCATAAAGTATTATTGTGTAACTTGTAAATCAGTAAAATCCTGATACAAGTTCTGTTTTGCTTCTTTTGGCTTTCATTTTTTCCTCTCCTGTACCTTTAGTCTCCAGGCTGTCGTCCACTGCCTCCCTACCTTCACGGTAAATGATGTTTAAATATCACAATCTATGGAGACTCCTGCCTGATTTTATCTGTCCACCAGTCAATCACCATTAAAAACAGGAAAGGGCAAAGAGCTGATCCCTGTTGTATTAAAATGTGCTTTGATCTTTTTATGTTTGTAACGATTTTCTTCTAAATATCAGAATGTTTTTCTTCCAAATTCCTCGCTAGCTTGATTACGACTTTGACTGGAAAAAAAAGACACAAATCAGTTTGTGTGCAGTCAAAACAAAACTGCAGCACTTGAGTCGTGCGCCACTGGTTTGTACTGGCCATCACATAAATAAGTGTGCAGTTTGTGAACACTGAAAACTTTATTCTTTTAATTCATACGTTGACCTATGCTGCCTGGTTATAACTGTAGGAATTAGTTGTTATTGTTATTCTTCAGTTATACAAGATTAATAAAAGCAACGACCAATCAAAGTTATTCCTGCAGAACCAGCAGCGACAACAGTGTAGATTCACTGTAAATGGTTTGAATTTTACAGGAAGTACATTTTCTGTGCTTCAGCCAATCACAGTGATTTCCACTTGCTAAACCTTGATCAGCTTGTGACTAAATCTTCCTTTGAGTGGGAAGACATCAGTTGTGCGAGAGAAGGCTGAGGTACCACAATGATCAGAAGACTGCTTTCTTTGATTCTTCTAAGTACATTGTGTAAGTTGACTTCACTGAAACATGTGACATTGTAAACAATATAAAACAAAACTCTATAAGGTTGAGTAATGTTTATATATAGATTATACATTTTTAAGTGCTTTGTCCTGTCATGTTCTAACCAATACCGTGTTTTTTTGTTTTGTTTTTAGCTTTGACCGAAGGGGATGAGGGTCCTTTCCAGAGCTCTATAACTGTGACTAAACTTGGAGATAATGTGACTCTGACATGTAAAATCCCTAACGATGATGTTGGGTTGTCTTACTGGTATAAGCTGAATTTTGGAAACATGATTGAAACAATTGCCTCAGGAAGTTTTGACAAAATATCACTAAAGGGAAAATTTACCAACTCAAGATTCAATGCCACAAAAGTGGGTGATATGTATTCTCTTACCATAACAAATGCAAGCAAAGAAGATGAAGCGACATACTTATGCCAAGGAGGAACGGCATACATAATGGAATTTTTTAATAGCACGCTTTTGGTCGTGGATGGTAACGTATTTTAATTTGACTGTTTTTGTCATATCTGCTTCTAAACCCAAATAATTACAGTTAATGCTATTTCATGACTTTTTATGATTCACACAGATACAAAAACGCTGCAGAAATCTGTCAC